CTAAAAAATTATGCACAGTTATGCTATAACTGCTGTGTCTGCATAATGCAAGTCATGGGCTACTTTTGCTTCACCAAGGCATTTGTTAGCACTTACAAAGTTTAAAAGGTCAAGTCTGAATAGACTAAAGAATTAAATGTGAGAATTTAAAAACCTACAGAAAATAAGCATTAGCTTACAATCTAATCACTCCTTCATGGGAAAAGCATCTATTCACTTCCTCTACCAAGGAAATGTCTACTCCAGGGCAGTGACTTCTAAAACACAACAAACAAACCAAAAAAACATTATTAAAAAGAAGAACTATATGGATTAATTCAAACTATGTATAAAATGAAAAAATCCATTCATAACAGACAATAGCCTTCATTATTATAAAGTGTTATAAAAGATGAAAGAACCACCCAGAAGATATTTGCAACACAAAAAACACCCCAAAATCAAAAACACTCAAAAATCCAGGAAGTACATTTCTATTGTTTTATGCCACTCAGTTTTGTTAATTTGTTGCTGCAGCCCCATGAATTGAATATACTTTATAACTAAAAAAGAAATATTTTAAAGTGAAAATAGATATTTTATATAGAGATAGTGGGCATGGGAGAAGAAAGAGAAATCAGTAAAAATACAAAGAAATAATAAAATTCACCAATAAATGCATGAAAACCATTCGTTATTGATGTGAAAATACAAATTGAAACCCAGAAATGCCGTTTTATCGCTAATAGATTGACAGTTTCAAATTCTGACAAGGGCAAGATTTAGAGACCAAATACAGAGAAAGGGAATTCCTGCACATTTCTGGTGGGACCATAACCTGGTGCAACACTTTTAGGAAACAATTCATCATTCTATAGAAAAAGGGAATTTGAGCTTTGCCTTCTACTCTATAATGGCCCTCCAGATTTTCCATTTAAACACATAGACTAATGAGAAAGAAGTAAAGGTATAAAGAACTACTCTAGAAAACATTTCAAAAATATCATACTAAAGGGAAGAAAATCAAGACTCAGGAGACTTTGCACAGTGTAATCTCATTAAATAAGGTTCAGAAGGAGTTTTAAAATCTAAATATACATTCATAGATACAGAAACTATGGATACTTCAAGGAAATAGTGAACAAATCCCATTATACTTGTTACCTTTGGGCCTATAGAGATGAGGAAAGGAATTGGGTGGGCACATGATTTTCAGAGGTAATAGTAAAGTTTAATAAATGTATTAATTTTCAATGCAATCAATCATAAATCAATTCTATAGCTCTCTTTGATGATACAATACAAAATTTAATACACCTTGACATTTATTCAACCACAAAAATTTATGGAAGCCACACATTTTACAAGTATTAATCTGTGGCAAGTTCTTGTCAAAATTTTCCCTGAGAGTTGAAGGCAGAAAAGTTAGTGTTTCCAGAATTCAGTCCCTGACAAAATCCTCTCCTAACAACTCATGCCTCTCACTGGCAGTCCCATTCCATTGCACAGTTTCATCCACCATGTGAGTGAGAATGGTTCCCACAACATATCTTTCCTCTGTTTCAGATTCTATTATTGAAATGGATTTAAGGCAATTTCTCCTGATGGGAGAGGAACAAACACCTCAGAGACCATGCAAGCAAATCTAAACCCAACCTCCTGTGCAACAGAAGTATTCTCATCCAGTGCTCACAGTTCAAGCCCACTTACATGGGACACACAAATCAGAAATTTGGACATCATCTAATCATTCCTCCATCACTCTCACCATTACAATCAATTTCTAAATCTCACTACTTTTATTTTCTGTCCACTTGTTAAATTTGTCCTTTCTCCCCCATCCAATACATAAGGACATGTTAGTGAGGGGCCCAGCTCGACCAATGAGTATGCAATTGCAATTGGATGTGTATTTGAGTACACCACGCTATAGTCCCTTCTCTCTAGCCTTCTCCATTCAAGGTCCACTCATCACATTGCTTTGAATATGATCTTCCTTCCTTAAAACCATCTTTAGTGAAGGACACTAGTTAGCAAGACAGACTCCATGTTGCTGCTTGACCCACCTGCCTGCCCTTTAGATGAACTCAGAAGGAGGAAGCTTAGAAACCTCCTCCCCTTAGAGAGTCTCTTAGAAACAACAATTAATCAACTATTGTTTCACAAATGTTCTAACAGCAGGACGTTCCGCTTCTGTACCTTTTGCTTGCTTTACTAGTTCTATCCCATAGGGGGGCCTAGAAACTGTTGGCCTCAAAGGTGTATAAAACATGTTTGTCTCCCTCCAGTCGATGCTCAAGTCGAGTCCGATGCTCAGCTTGGGTCCCGGCCAGTAATAAACTCCTGTGTTGATTTAATATTGGTCTCTGCTTGGTTCTTTCTTGCTGGGTGCAACATTTAGTTTCACCATCTAGACAATGAAAGCCATCCTATGTATTTCCTATTTAACCCAGACCTATCTGTTGCTGTAAATCATTTGCTGTGACTCAGTTTTCTTTTATGCTCTAAATTATGCTGCAATCATGAGCCTCTGTTTCCTTATGCCTGGAACATACTCCTCTTTACCTCTTTAAGTCTACTATTTACCTACTGTTAGCTATTCCTTTTTTCTTTTTTTTTTTTTAAATGGAGAACAAATTTTATTTTAAAAATAGATCTCAGTAACAATGAAATACCAAAAGCTGGTCGTTATAATAGAAAAACAAAAGATAAGAGGAGTTTGCTTTACTTTTTTTCTGAAAATATAGAATTAACTACCGTAATATACTGCCAACTCTCACTTGTTTTATTGGAATTATTCCTTTTATTATCCAAGGATATTTAAAAATCAGTGCTTCTGCATGATATTTAGACATACATCTGGATTGTTTTTATCTTCAAGTAAATACATTCTCAAGAAATTCAAAGAAAATTGGGCACTTGCTTACTTAAGCATAATTAGGAAGATTATTCTTAGGAAATGTACCCAAAGGAATACATAATTTTGCATTACTGTTTCTGTAGATTAAAAAAAACTTGTATTCAAAGTACTAGTATCTGAAAGTAACAAATTATACTACTTATACACAGAAAAAGGACATAACAATATTATTTCCAACCCAAAAAGAAGAGGAAACTTCCAAGGCAATGACAATGGTAATTTAAAAGTGATTTTCTAGCTGCAAAGTGCTAAAGAAGCAAGTATTCAAGAAAAACTTCAGCTAGTACTGATATACCAAGAATGCGAGAAACAAAAGAAGGTAAAAGCCCTCATCACTATAAAGGCTGTTTTAACTATATTTTACAAAGAAGTGAAAGCAGTGGCTGCAAGACCAGTTAAGGCCAAGTTAGCAACAGGCAACTTACCCATCAGCCCACATTTCTCTTCAAACTAGCTAACCACGTATGTTTCATAGTTTCCTCCACACTGCATGTGCTATATAAATTTGATCATATCCATATTTTAAAGGATATCATCTATATCACATCAGTTGTCCTTAACACACAACAAATAGAAATTATCCTTTTGTAACAAAATTTTTGATACCTGGCATTCTCTGCAAACCAAATGCTGACCACAAAGTTATATTTTATTCCTATTAAGTGTTGGTACATGTTCCTTGGGAGATCTTAGCTCATTTTTAGATTTGTGAAAACTGGAGTAATTTGCTTTGGCCCTGTAAGATAAAAATATCTTGGTATTTAATGACTGAATGCCTCTTTTGTTAAAACTTGACCCTGAGTTTAAGTTCTAGAATATAAACTGTAAAACTAAAACCATTCCAAAATACACTGCCTAATATTGGTGTTTGTATAATACTGTGCTTTTTTTCCTCTTCATTTCCATAGTGCATTTGAAAGTAGCTCCCCTTCAGCAATGGAGTAAGATGAGTGGTCTAGGATGCCCAACATAAGGAAGCAGGAAATGTCCTGTCTAAGGTAAGCATTTACTCCAAAATACATTTATTTAAAGTATAAAAATGTCATTTCCCTAGTTCTTATAAAATTGATAGTGTATGAAGTGCAGCATTTTCACCCTGCAGGTAGAATAGCTTGGGGCAGAAACTCCCATAATCCCTGGTTTAATAAACAGCAAAAATCTATAATTCTGACAATACAGTTCTAAGTATTGTTTTGGAAATCTTTTTTTTAATTTCAAGATATTGAAAGCAGCTCTATATTCTTTTTTTTTTTTTTTTGGTACCTGGGATCGAACTCGGGTCCTTGAGCTTGCAAGGGAGGCGGCAGAACCACTGAGCTAAATCCCCAGCAGCTCTACATTCTTTTAAAATATTCACTAAATATAAAATTAAAATTAATAAGTGAATAGGAAATAAAAGCCATGTCCAGTAGTAACAAATATTCTCACAGTAGCAAATAATCTAGTATCTAGTTTTTCCTATGCCAATCTTACAGTTGAATTCTTAAAACACCATTTTTAACACTGCAGTTTGCCTAAATTATATAAAGAAAATTATATCAACTAACATTGAAATCTTAAAAGAAGTTATTAATAAAAATACAAGCTTTTTAAATTCTCCACTGGGTCTTTATTACAGCAAAGGACACGTACTGGTTGGGGTTTTATTTTGAAGATTCTGTTTCTAGACCAAATACCGTACTTCAAAATATAAAATGTTGAAGCTTTCTTAAATTATGCTTGAGACCTAGTTTATGCAATTATGTGATTTCTACTTACAGCATTAGTAATTAGGGTATATCCAGCTCTGAAAAGCATTGAAGTTCTTCATGTGAGCAACAAACACTCAAAATCCCGAGTGCTGTACTGAGCTCCTTAATTGTAAACACAGATGGCATCCTGCCCTTCAGTGATATGATTCAGTTACTGGTCCTAGGTGACCAATGCCACAAAACCATGAGATAGTAGTTATCTTACTGTGATATATTTGCTAAATGTGAATATAATCACTGTATAATTATTTGTAAGCTTCAAATATTCATTTAAATGTTTAAGACATTTTTACCTTTAGTAATGATGAGGAATCTTCAAATATTTATGCAATACATCATATACATGGTCCGTTCATACTACTTTTAAGAGAACATTGTTTTAAACTAATAAACCAAAATTATAGGGCTGCATCAGTCTTCTTTCCTTGGTTCTTGTATTTCCTTAAATGATGGCATCATGTTCATCAATGGTTCTATACCGAATGCCTCTTCTTGAATAATACATGTTGCATCCAATGTAAAGAATAGATAAAACTCCCAGTGTCAATACAATACCACCAACAAAGCTGCCAGTATCAAATTTTGATCCTCTATTTTCTTTAGAATGAATAGTTGTGGTTACCAGTGTCACCAAACTACTGTGGGTTGTGGTCATCATGGGTGTTGACATCTGGGATCTATTTTGTGAAATACTCATTGCTTTAGTTGTAGACTTTGAGGTGGTGTGAGTTGTATTGGTTGAGACTCCTGATGTTGCCATTTTAGAAGTAGATTTCATGTTGACAGCTGTCACGTTGATCGAGACCAAGGAAACTGGAGTTAATGGTTTCACGGTGCTGCTGCTGTTAGATGTGCTTGTATTGCTGGAAGGCATAGTCACTGATAGGTTACCACTGGAGTTGTGCAGAGGCACAGGAATCTCTGTATTTGGAGATTCCGGCGGCTGGGCGGCCCCCGCGAGCACCAGCATCTGCAGCGCCCCCAGGAGCAGCGTGGCCCAAGCGCCCCACGCACCGAGGTCCATTGTTCCGGGCAGAAACGCGGCCTTGTGGGCCCGGAGCGTGGAGGGAGCGGCGGCGAGAGAGGCCCTGCGCGCAGGCAACTAGGCCCGTGTCCTTCTCCACCTGCACTTTGTTAGCTATTCCTTGAAGTCTATCTTCCCTGGAATCTGGTGTACCATTGCTTTCTGCTACTATAAGTATCTGTGCATGTTTCAGTATTTCATTTAACATTTCTGTCTTCTCATCTAAGCTTTAATATTTTAAAATACATAGACTGTAATTCATCTTTCTTTTCTTGCTTTTTTTTTGGACAAAGTGTAGAGTAGTTCTTGATGTATCTTCACAAATATTACTTTAAACGGACAGTGGTGATGGTGAATAATTACACTTATTACCTGAGGAACAGCTTCACTCTGTACAGCCCTTGAGCTGTAACTTGAAAATAATATTCTACATTGTCCTTATATCCTGGGCTATTGAAAGGCAACTATTCCTCTGTATTCCAAAACAGGTGTTTTAACTCCTTTTGATTAGAAAATTGACTTCCTAAATGAGGGACTACTTCAGAAAACACGAGGTCCCCATTGACTAGGACTATAGATGCCAGGACATTTCTTGTATATAAAATAATCACTAACTTTCTCCCTTGCTGCAAAGTAGTGGAATATTTAAAATATAATTATTTCATGCCGACTGTTCAGCAACATGAATTAAATTTTACATTTTTAAGATTGTAGAATCAAGTGAAGTTAGAACTAGAAACTAAATCATATATATGAAAACAAATTGGAGATTGAGTTTTGAGATCAAATACAATAGAGGTCAAATCTTAATTCTGATTATTGCTAATTATATGACTTTGAGTAAGTCACTTAACTTTCCGACTCTCTGTTTCCCATCTGAAAAAGGATTTAATGCATTCTTTCAAAGGTTGTCTCAGATGATTTTGTAGGCAAATTTTATCAATAACTCCATCCCAGGAAATTCCGATCTTATTCCAAGTCTTTTGTGTTCCTAAACGAGGGGAACATTTCTTCAAGAGCACAGCTGAGTTTGATCATTCACTAAGATGACTCACAGAACCCATTATAAAGTCATAGTCATCACTGTAATTTATTATAATAACTATATCAAATATCATCAAGAAGACAAGGTACATGAGATGGTGTCTAGAGAAAACTAGACATAAGTTTCCAAGAGTTTTTCCCCAGTGGAGTCACACAGAATGAGCTTAATTCTTTCAGAAACTGAATTTTGTGGCAACACGTGAAATTTGCCAACCAGGAAATTTCATTAGACACTCAATGACCAAAGTTTTATTGAGGCTGGTAATTATAGACTCCGTCTGCCTAGCACAAACCAAAGTTCCAGACTCCCAGAAGGAAAGCAGGTGTTCAGCATTAACAGCATTCTTTAGACACAGTGAGCTGTATTTATCACCTAGGGAGAGTTTTATATCAGTGTAAGGAACAAGTAACCATTCATGGTCCCAGGTGCCAGGCAAGGGCCAACCTGGCAGATGGAAGCTCCTCGGGGATAACATTTTAGTCTCACTGTATTAGCTATTTTCTGCTCATTCTGCAAATTATTTAGTGAGACTGACTGATGACAGTGGTTCAGTGCACAACTATGGAACAAAATGACTGGCTCAAACCTCAGCTTTGGTACTTATCAGGGTCTTGATGCCCACTTGCCCATTAAGTAGAGTGGAGATAAGAACAGTATTTATCCTGTATAGTTGCAAAAATTGAATGCATTATTTTACATGAAACACACAGAAGAGCACTTGGCAAATAAAAAGGTGGTAGCAACAGCAGAAGCATCTTTGGTAATAGTAAAGGCATAACTTTGGTTTCAAAAAGAACAGATTAAAAGGTCAATTTCAGTCATAAACTTAGAATCAAAAGTCTTTCACAACATGCTTTAAAACTGGAGTTAACACTGTACAAAAAGCATACTGTATTTTGATAAATTCACTTTTGCTCAAGTGATACACTCCATAAAAAATGTGTTACTGTATCTCAACAGGTAAACAGAATTTTAAGGGAAAGGGATTTAGCTCAGTGATTCTGCCACCTGCCTCATAATGCAGGTCCCAAGTTCAATCACAAGTACAGAAAAAAAAGAATTTTAATAACATCTAAAACCTATTTATGATTTATTAAACTCTATGCTAACTAGAAATAAAAGACATCTCTTAACCTAAGAATTTTCTACTCAAAATGCAGGAAATAGGAAAAACATTAAAAATGTAAACACATTTTAAAAATAACAAATAGGATACATTATCCCTCTATTGGCACTTTTATTCAACATTGTACTGAAGTTCACAGCAAATATTAAAAAAGAGAATAAAAGAAAAAGCAAATAGATGAGAAAGGGATAAACCAAGCTGTCACTATTATTTACATCTAAGAAACAATCTACAAGTTATTAAAACTGGTGAGAAGTTAACAAGTTTTCTAGATATAAATAAAATGCAAAGATCAATTGTACTTTATATTTCAACAAAAAGTTGAGAGAATATTACTCTTTTAAAAGAACAGGAGGATAAATCTAACAAGAGAATATTCTTCATGTGAAAAATCTCTGAACAACACCAAAGAAAAATTAAATAAATACTATATAATACTATCTTTTTAAACTGAACATGGTGGCACACACTTGTAATTCCATCACTCAAGAGGCAGAGACAGGAGGATTTCAGTGAGTTCCAGGCCAGCCTGGGTTACACAGTGAGCTCTGGGCCATACTGAACAACATAGTGAGACCCTGTCTCAGAAATCAAAAAAAAAAAAAAATCATCCTTTAAAAATATACTAAATGGAGGAGGCATTCAGGCTGCTATAGCACTACTCCCAGTGCAGAGGAGGTGAGCCACTCCCAGCGCCCAATAGAGGGCTTCCGGGCCACCACAACACCGCTTACAGTGCAGAGGAGGTGAGCCACTCCAGTGCCCAAGAGGGGGCTTTCGGGCCACCATAGGACTGCTCCCAGTGCAGAGGAGCTGAACCGCATGGGCACCAGCAGTACACAACCCCCAGCCCCCATTGAAATGAGAAGACACTTAAAAAAGCATCAAAATCAGATTTCCAGATGACCTACAGCAACCCCAAAGGAAAATGAGATGCAACACTTTGATACTCTAACACCTTGACTCCCTGAACTGGCAACAAAAGAGGATCTGGAAAAAATGAAATCAGAAATAATTTCTGAGATAACAACAGAGATTGTGCCCATAGTGCAAGACATGATTAATAAATTTAGAGAGAACACAGATAAAAAAAATACAAGAGCTGAGGAACATGATGGAATCCCAACATAGGAAACAAATGGAATCCATAAAACAGATGCAAACAGATTTCCAGGAGATGAAAAACTCCATTGAAAGTCTAAATAGCAGAATGAACCAATGTGAGGACAGAATTTCAGATATAGAAGATAAGATTGCAATTAGTGACCAAGAAAAGAAAAATTGCTTCAAAATAGTAAGGGACCACAAGAAATCAATCCAGCAGCTGCTAGATGATACAAAGAAGAATAACATAAGACTGATTGGAGTCAAGGAAGAAACAGGAGAGAGTGCAAATGACATTAAAAAACTGTCCACAGAAGTGATGTCAGAAAACTTTCCAAGCAGGGAAAAAGAACTTGACATACAGATAAGTGAGGCATATAGGGATCAAACTAGCCTTGGGCAAAAAAAAAAATCTACACATAGGCATATAATTGTTAACATTCCAGAAACCCAACAGAAGAACAAAATTCTACAAGCAGTGAGAGAAAAGAAACAAATCACATACAAAGGAAAGCCCATCAGAATCACAGCAGACTTCTCAATGCAAACCCTCAAGGCAAGAAGAGCTTGGAGTGATGTATTTCAATCCCTAAAGGAAAACAGCCTCCAACCCAGATTGATGTACCCTGCAAAACTATCTTTCAAAATTGATGGAGAAATAAGATACTTTCATGATAAAGAGCACCTGAGGAACTTCATGAATACAAAATCAGCACTTCAAAAAATTTTAGACAATATCCTAGGAAAAGACAGTGAGGATCACAATGCCAGGAAACACAGCAGAATGAATCCATTGGGCACAACAAGAAATTAATAGCAAAAGGGGAGAATTCAACAAAAAGAAAAAGTCATGACAATGATAAGTGAATACATATCAGTTATCACCATGAATGTTAATAGTCTCAATTCACCAATCAAAAGAAATAGACTGGCAGAATGGGTCAAAGAAGCAAGATCTAACAATATGGTGCATACAAGAAACATACAATTCAAAAAGAAACTCATAGACTAAATGTTAAAGGATAGAAAACAATACTCCATGTGACAGGAACCCAAAAAAAAGCAGGAGTAGATATCCTCTTTGAAGCTCAAGTGGATTTCAAACCACCACTGATTAAGAGAGACGAATAAGGACACTACATCCTTGTAAAGGGAAGAATCCAACAAGAAGAGTTTACAATCATTAATATATATGCATCAAACACTAGTACACACAACTATATAAAACAAATATTAACAGACATGAAAAGTGATATATGCACTAATACAATAATAGTGGGGGACCTCAATACCCCACTATCACAAATAGATAGATCAACTAGACAAAAAAAATCAGTAATGAAATACTAGAACTCAAACTCTTGAACAAATGCGTTTAACAGATGTTTACAGAGTGTTCCACCCCACCAAATCAGAACACACATTCTTTTCAGTGGCACACAGGTCGTTCCCCAAAATAGACCACATATGCATGCATAGAACATATTTAAGTAAATGCAAAGGAACTGACATTATCCCGTGTATATTATCAGACCACAGTGTAATGAAATTGGAGATCAATAGCAAAAGAAACTGCAAACATTTCATAAACACATGGAAATTGAACAACACACTTCTGAATAACCAATAGGTCACAGAGAAAATTAAAGAAGAAATCAGACAGTTCCTTCAATTGAATGACAATGACAATACAATATATTGGAATCTATGGGACACAATGAAAGG